ATAGGTGCCCTTTAATAAATGGTTCATAGTGTGTAGTTATTATAAAAGTGCTACCAAATATTCACTTTCAAGTGGATTAAAAGGATTAATGAACAAATAAAAACATGAAACTGTAGTTAAGCCTTTAAATGTCACTTTAAGCTGTATAGAAGTGTCTTGAAAAATATCTATTCAAATATTATTTACTGTCATCATGGAAAAGATAAAATAAATCAGTTATTAGAAATGAGTTATTAAAATTATTATGCTTAGAAATGTGCTGGAAATTTTTTTTCTCTCTGTTAAACAGAAATTGGGTAAAAAAAAATAAACGGGGCTAATAATTCTGGGTGCTAATAATTCTAACTTCAACTGTATGTATGTATGTATGTATATATATATATACACACACACACACACACACACACAATAGGTGCCCTTTAATAAATGGTTCATAGTGTGTAGTTATTATAAAGTGCTACCAAATATTCACTTTCAAGTGGATTAAAAGGATTAATAAACAAATAAAAACATGAAACTGTAGGGATGGTTTACTGTTTGACCCAAAGAATGACCAGTCTGGTAATGAAGAAGAGCTGGAGTCAGAGATTTAAATAAATAAATCAAGTTTACTGAAGATAGATTGCAGTTTCATCCGCAGAAGCCAGCTTCAACACTCGCAATGAGTTCCTAGGCCTTTGACTTAGTCACCAATCAATAACAATTATACTCTCACATAACGTCATTAACTGCATCATACATATAGGTGTTCTAACCTGAATGGTTAAAACACAGATAGACTTGGAAATTTCCACGTGGGGTTCGTGTGTACAATTCTGAACAATATCTTAAGCATAAACGTCAAACATCCCTTAGACTGATTAGAGCTGACTCCAGACCTGTGAAACGGATCAACAATCAAAATAGAACACACACACATAAAACTGGTTAAAAACCAGTATAATCTACATTCAGGCAGTTATATTCCTACTATACAAAGTCTATCTTGAATAAAAGTAGAATCCCTTTAAAAGATTTAACCGTAAAAAATAGCAAAATCACTTTAGACATTTTAGATAGTAATAACTACTAGAAATAACAATAGAATCAGTTGATTCCAGTCCTCAGCCATCAGTTCAGCTCAAGGTCTCCGTGACCTCTGACCTAGTTTGGTGGCTTCTGATAATAGTTATAAAGAGACAGGCAAATGCACTGAACATTCTTATATTAAGCAATGTGTTAACTTATTCATTAATTAAAATCAATTCAAAGTTAAATACTCAATCAAATAATCAATTATATTTAATAAAAAAATTATGAGAAACAAGATGATGATGAGAAAAGGATAAACGTCGGTCCATGATGAGACGGATTGGAAAGCAGAAATCCGAATCCTTCAATACAAAATACTGAAAACTTCTGCTTTCTGCTGTGTCTTCCAGCGGCTCTGAGCGTGCGAAGTCTTCAAGACCTGTCCCGAATCTACATCCGCCGGACGCTGAGCAGCCTGATCAATGAAGAGAACCCAAACCGCACCAACACTCCACGAGCTTCTCAGAAGCGCAAGCGCAGACGCTGTCGCCGCCGCCGCCGCATCAACACATATGTGTTCGTGGGCAACCAGCTGATCCCGCAGCCCCTCGACAGCGAAGAGGACGAGTGCATCGAGCAAGAGAGCAAAGACGAGGAGCAAGAGAAAGACATTGAGCCCATCAAACCCGAAGAGCCGCAGGTCAACCATCTGAGAGACAAAATCTTGAGTCTGCCGCTGCCCGAGTCGCTCAAAGCCTACCTGCTGTACTACCGCAAGAAATAAAGTCTCTTCTCCAGACTACTTCTGACCCTCACTTTCACTCTTTTCTTTGTTTTTTTGATAATGTAGCATAATTTAAACATTTAAAACTGGGGTTTGGGCTGCATTTTTATTATTTCGTGTTTCTTTTTTCCCAGAAGAGACTTGATTGTGCTTGCTGTGTTTGTTCTACGTTGTAATATTCACATTTTTTAATGTGACGATTTTTTTTTCCACTGCTGAGGACCTCGGGGGGGCTTTAGAAGCTTGTTTGTATTCTGAAGAGTTCGCTTTAATGTGATGGAAGCTATTTTTTCACTGGCTTGTATTGTTGTAAGACCAGCCTGTTTGACGAGTCCAATAATGACAGTTTTCTTTCTTTTTTTTTTTAAGGTGTAGGAAGAATGAAACACTCGAGTCATTATTTTGGGACTGATGTATGCCTTCTTTGACTCCCTCTGGGTTTATTTAGCTGTTAATGCTAATGCTTTGAGTATCTCTTTGGACCGTTTTAGTGAATTTCCATCTAGAGATGATTGTTTTGGCCTGTTTTCTGCATTTTTTTTTTTTACATTCTAGGCACATTTGTAAGTACTGATATTGAGCTGTCTCTTAATCGCTGATGTACTTTTTTTTTTCTTGGTTTCTTTCATCAGCAAGTCGACCTGGAAACCCAACGCTCCACTTTCTGCTTGTGATCATTGAGATGTAGGAGACGTCACTGTTTGTGTCGGTTTGTAATCGGTGATTTCACGCTGTCGTAACAACTTGTTTGCAATATATTGTCAGCATATGAAATCTTTGGCTTCATTTCAGTTATTCTATTGATTGTAAATGATTTTGTTACATTAAATGGAATCTAATCAAATTTATTAATCATTTCTGTCACATTTTACAAATTAATTAAGACAATCATCTATGTTACGTTAAAAGGATTGTTCATCCAAAAATCTAAATTTATTATTTACTCTCCCTCAAGCAGTCCTAAATCTTTTATGAGTTTCTTTCTTCTGTTAAACACAAAATAATATAATTTAAAGAAAGCTGAAAACCTGTAACCATTGACTTACATAGTACGAAAAACAGACATTACAGAAGCTAATGGCTACAGGTTTCCAGCATTCTTCAAAATATCTTCTTTTGTGTTCAACAGGGGAAAAAAAGTTCAGTTTTTGGTGAACTATCACTTTATTTATAATCCTACTGTTGTTCATATAGTCTCTGTATAACCTTTAGCATTTATAGATATACCTACGAGAAAAAAAGGCTCGATTTCCGTCATTTACCTGGCTCATAATGATGTTTATTCCACTTGAATGCCTTACTTTGGTCAAAAAAAAAATGTGGTTGTCCATAAAATGATTGGACAGGACATGTGTCCATATACATAGCTCACTGAATGAGATAGCTTGCTTTTTCGACAAACATAACAAGTAGATTCACCTCAGAAAATAAAGTAAATGTAGCTATTTTTACGTTTTTTGGTAGACCGAGGACAAAAATGCGTGCCAAATGTCTCATGAACGTGCCCACAGCTTGAGGTAATTTTCTTTAGGCTAAATAGTAGGCTACGTTCAAATTCGGTGACTTGATGTTTTGTTTTTCACAAAACCTCATCGTTCACTCGAAATGTAGGAGACTTAACTGTTTCTGTCGGTTGGTGATTTCACGCTGTCGTAACAACTTGTTTGCAATATATTGTCAGCATATGAAATCTTTGGCTTCATTTCAGTTATTCGATTGATTGTAAATGATTTTGTTAAATGGAATTTAATCAAATTTACAAATCATTTCAGTCACATTTTACAAATTAAATACAGATTGAGACAATCATCTATGTTGTGTTAAAAGGATTGTTCACCCAACAATGTTAATGTACTATTTACTCTCCCTCAAGCGGTCCCAAATGTCTTGAGTTTCATTCTTCTGTTAAACACAAAATAATATAATTGAAGAAAGATGAAAACCTGTAACTTACATAGTAGGAAAAACAGACATTACAGGGGTTACAGGTTTCCAGCATTTTTCAAAACATCTTTTGTGTTCAACAGGGGAAAAAATCAAATGGGTTTGAAACAAGTGAATGAGAGTAAGTGATGACAGAATGTTCAGTTTTTGGAGAACTATCCCTTTAATTATAATCCTACTGTTGTTCATATGGTCCCATAAACTTTAGCCTATATATGCTACTAAAAACAGCCACTTGATTTCAGGCATTATTTACCTTGCTCATAATGATGTTTAACCCACTTGTATGCCTTTCTTTGTTCCAAAAAAAAGAAAAGATCTGGTCATCTGTAATGATTTGGCAGGACATGTGATACGGATAAATCTAACTTAGATCACAGAACGCGATAACTTGCTTTTTCAATGAACATAAGTAAATTTACCTCAGAAAAAAAATTCACGCATTATATTTACGATGTTTTTGCGGATTGAGGACAGGATTTCGCGCTAAAATGTCTCACGAACGCGCATTATTATTCTCGAGGTAATTTTCTTTAGTCTCAGTACATTCAGCTTTGATGATTTGATATTTTGTTTTTCTCAAAACCTCATCGTTCACTCGAAGACTTGAAATGCTGAATTGAACATGGTAAGCATATTCATGCTATTTTCCCTCTTAAGGTGAATTTACACAAATTACTCGGCAGAAAGTTACATTTCTTAACATGCTTATTGTGTTTACATTAAAAATGTATTTTGTGCGTGTTTTAGTACTTCACTGGTCAATCTACACATGTCCAAAACATATTTTATTACAATATAACAAAAACAACTTCATGGTCAACTTTAAAAATAATAAATCAGTTATTGGACATACACAGACTAAGAATTTTTTTTTATTAGTTTTTTTTTGGTGCACCCTAACTCTGTATATATGCGATGGTGATGGGGAAAACTAGAATGTAAAAACAATAACATTTTTCAAAACAACATCATAGCAACTTTGAATTCAAAATTACATACAATAGAGATGTCCTTATGCTTTGTTGTCACAAAGGCACGGGATCGCGCAGTTAAGCATACAAATGTTACCTTTCCCTTAGCATAAACAGACCTTTTATGACTTTTTAACAGCCCTTGAAAATGCACAAAACCTTTTTGAGGTGCTGACAGAAGAAGCATTTAGATTCTCCATGATATCCTCCTGAGACCCTCCAAAAAATGTTTTTTTTTTTTTCTGTGATTTCCTCCTTCGGGTCAAAAAAAATCTTCAGTTTAGAGTTTTTACATTTAGTTTTTATTTTTAATTTAATGGAGCACAGGACCATTTTAGTTCAAAACGACCGCCACTCAGACAACAAAATTGTACAGGATAGGGCTGTAAAGGGATATGTATCCAATATTACTGTAACAAAAACAAAACAAAAGGCATTTTTTATTTTTGTATTGAAATTCCTGAAACAGTTTAATCTGAAAGAGAGCCGAACTCAAACAAACAAACAAACAAAAAAATTAACATAAAAGCGATTTAAAACTGATTGTCATTCTCTAATTGTCTCTAATTTTCTAATTGTCAGACTCTAAGTCAGACTCTCCTTCAACTATCTATCTATCTATCTATCTATCTATCTATCTATCTATCTATCTATCTATCTATCTATCTATCTATCTATCTATCTATCTATCTATCTATCTATCTATCTATCTATCTATATATATATATATATATATATATATATATATATATATATATATATATATATAAAGAATCCTCTCTGCTTCAGTTCTGCCTCCTACAACATGCAGTCATTAATTACATTAAGATGGTCCTGTTGTCCACTATAGTGGACATTTAAAAAAGGATGACATTTTGAAACACAAACAAGTTAACAGCTTTGAAAGCTAAATGTATTGTTCTTGACACTTTAATAAACAAACATATATGTAATAATAATAGTAAAAAACATTTAAAAAGATCAGTTTTACATACCTCTCTCCCCATAAAATGTGCTTGTTTGTATGCCGGCCATTTTGGATGCAGTGTAAGAAGTGGTACCTAGCATGCCAGCCAATCAAATGACATATCACTAGAAAGCCCAGGATGTCCTCTGAACAGTACAACAGGACTTGACTGAGTAGCTCGAAAATTCATGAAAACACTGTCAATACAAGTCAATAGGCGAGTCTCAGGGGGATATCTGAGATGATCTTATAATATTGGTCAGCATTTTACATATTTCTTAAGGTTGAGATGCTTTGATTGCTAGAATGTTGTCAAAATGTTCCAGAACCCCCCATCTCCCACTGTTTATCACTGTTTATATCTATATCGTCACCTTAGAATTATAAGGTTCTATTTGACATTTTGGCGAGGCAGTGGCGCAGTAGGTAGTGCTGTTGCCTCACAGCAAGAAGGTCGCTGGTTCAAACCTCGGCTCAGTTGGCGTTTCTGTGTGGATTTTGCATGTTCGCCCAGCCTTCTTCGCGTGGGTTTCCTCCGGGTGCTCCGATTTCCCCCACAGTACAAAGACATGCGGTACAGGTGAATTGGGTAGGCTAAATTGTTCGTAGTGTGTGAATGTGTGTGGATGTTTCTCAGAGATGGGTTGCGGCTGGAAGGGCATCCGCTGCGTAAAAACTTGCTGGATAAGTTGGTGGTTCATTCCGCTGTGGCGACCCCGGATTAATAAAGGGACTAAGCCGACAAGAAAATGAATGAATATTTGACATTTTTTGTCTAAATTGAGTTATTGACATTCTTTTCAAATGACAACTTATTTACATTATGGGATGTTTTTTTTTTAAGTTCTTTTTATATAAAAAAAAAAAAAAAACAAATGTTACACACACTGTTTGCTATGGAATGCGAAAACTTTGAAGCTCAATATCTCATATTTATTTATAAAATCCTATAATATATATTTATATAATAGTGGAATTATCTTTTATTTTTATGCTTGAGTATTTTTAGCTTTATATTTGAGGACATAAATAACTAAAACTTAACCCAAAACAATATAAAAAATCATGTTTCCATTATACATGTTTTCCTCTAAAATAATATATGAATTGACATTTTTTCTCTCTAATATAAAATGGGAACAATTTTGTTTCTTCGTTCTGAACTGAAATTTGCTTTTTCTGTTGCATAAAATATTGACCAAATTCAATTAAGACACAGACACCATTCGTACGCGCTTTTGAAACAGGATTACACGACAATAAAAACTCTCAATAAAAAAAAAAATGTCACACATTATAAAATCTTTATTAAGTGTACATCTTTATTAAAACAAATCATAGCTAAAAATAAAACAATGCTTTTTCCAGTCCTATATTAATCCAAATATATCCCAGCTTTAGGGAAAATCTCAAATCTCTCTTTTGCATAGACTAAATGCTCAACATCAGAAAAAAACAAACAAGCAAACAAGGATTTAATGCTGCAAAAATGCTTATTTTTTCCTCCATCCGAAATGTCCTGCGCAGACTTGGGTTAAAACAGAACAAACTCTTCCATGTCATTTAATGATTTTAGCCCAATAATGGTTCAAGTTGAGGGATGTTTTATTTTTGTTTTTTTACAATGACGTATTTTAGCATGAGAGGCTGAATGTAAAGCTTTGGCCATAATGCTAGATAACACATATCTTATTCCTGCATGTCAGTTTATGACACTAGCATGCGCTAAATAAAAGCATCAGAACAGCAGCTTGTAGAGAGTTTGGAGATATTAAAGTCAACATGAAACTGTACATATAATTGGGATATTATTTCAAGTAAAAAAATGTTTTATGAAAAGTGGGCATTGAAGAAATGGTTCTGATTCAATTGTTAAGATCTAGCCTATCTCACGTCGGGGTTAACCAGCATTACATTTTAGGCTGTATTCATTTGCAGTACAGAAATGCCTCACAGAAAACAAATGTTTAACTAAAATCTTACATCCTCTAAATGAGGAAAAAGCTAAAAGACCAAAGAAAGAAATGTAAAATGCTCATTTTTCTTCCCTATGTAGTCATTCATGGATTATTATAAAAATCTTGTTTCCAGTTTGACAAATAAAATACAATTAATAGACACTTTTAAACTTTTGCTTTTTGTGCCATAATTGAGTCAAATTGTTAACCTCACAATTTAGAGTGGACAGGAAAATCAGAATTTGGAACAAAAACTGCTAGATGAAAATGAGTTAGGGCAAGGCAGTGGCGCAGTAGGTAGTGCTGTCGCCTCACAGCAAGAAGGTCGCTGGGTCACTGGTTCGAACCTCGGCTCAGTTGGCGTGTCTGTGTGGAGTTTGCATGTTCTCCCTGCCTCCGGTGGGTTTTCACTGGCTGCTCCGGTTTCCCCCACAGTCCAAAGACATGCGGTACAGGTGAATT